GGTGTTTTTGAGTTGATGAGTAGTGCAGATATCAATGTAAAATCAATCGACAGTAAGGAGAATACTTATTCCCGGGTGTAAAATTCTCCGTTATCCAATGGGAATGGATGCTCACATTGCCTCTATCTGCCGCCAACATGGCCGGATGCGGTGCTTCCCTGAGCGTCAAATACCGCCGCCGATGGGAATACATTGCAATCAGTTGAAAGCTCTTTGCGTCCGTTTATGAAGCTGAAGGAGACTCGGTGCGTCACAACTGCACGTCAAAGGACCCCAACCAAGCGTCGCTATTGGACTATCAGGGAGTGAGACTGTGTTGGAAGATAATATCGGTACAGCCACTGACAATTCTCCAAAATGAGTGCTTATTGCCTATCACATATTTCTCATTTGCAATCAACAGCTTTTTGATGCAATATATATCTTTATTGTACCTTTTGATGACCATAACCTTTTGGAAAGCAGTGTTTTATGGCCTTGCCTGAGCTTCCACATGGCCATAGATTTGTAAATTGAGCGTAGAGCTCATGTCAGCATGGTCGACAAAGCACCTGGATGCCAACTGCTGCCAGTTTATTTAAACAGTCTTTCTATTGCAGTTGGCCTAAGTACACAACCACTCAGAGGACCCCTTCTGAACTTTGCCTTCTGGGAAATTCTGCAACGAAAGCAAACCTCCTATGAAGCTTTGTGTGGCGATACTGTTATGAATAAACAAAAACAAAGCATTGTTTAAAGCCTCCAGACGATATCTTACCTTTATTTCTTAAACCAAACAGTGCTAAGTGATTTAAATTCGCACACAGCTACTGGATTAAAACCTAAAAACACCAATGTAAAGATATCTTAAAATAAGATGATGTATTTGTTGCTTATAAAGTATGAAAAATATGTTAACTAAGGAAACAAACTATTTCAATCATCCAGTTTGCATCAGTTTTTAAGGCTAAACTTTGAGAACAAACAAGTGCCATATCGTTGATGGAGAATAAAACTGCAGGAGATCTTTTACAAGTTTACAAGGACTCTGCTTTAATTTAAGTTATTGTTTATTTTTTATTTTAACCAAACAGCTCTGTACCAGACTTTGTTATTAGTCCTAGAATAGAAACACACATACCAGAACAGCTTGATTTTTCAGTCAATTTTGATAAGTGCTGCACTTACGTAAATGCCAGACCTCTATTATCTGGCTGCAAGAAGGGCGTTAATAACAAGGTACTACAACCTGTGTTTTCTGAACACATTACACTGGCAGACAGAGTGTTTTTCGGATTGTTTGTAGAATTTAACTGTATGAAATTACAATTTTCCTTTTTCCCATCATGGCTCACGTACAGTATCTTGATTTTATCTCATGGAGCGCTTCTTTTGGGGGTTGAGGTTTGTTTACTTTCAATGTTCTGTACTGGATTTGCACACTATGGATTTATCAATTACCCAAATGAAAGAAGTTCTCTCAAGTTACTCATTCATTAAGTTAGTATTAACCCTTAGATGCACGAGTGACTGGACCCTACACTCTTCCATAAGTGGGTCTAAAAGGACCCGTATTAGAATAATATGTGTTTTTATGCAATTTTTGTCATTTTGGTTAAGAAAAATCTCTTGTATAATATTTAGTATTATATTTTGGTTCACACTAGAAATATTTTATATTTAATTTTTCACTATTTATAATTTTAGAAATTTCTTTTACATTTTTGAAAAAAAAAGTTTTCCCATAGGATTCCATAGAAAATGCATGCGGGTCTGTTTTGACCCACTTATGGAAGCTTGGGGTACTAATACAAAAACTACAATTTCTTAAAATGTAAATTAAAAATGTGAATGGCATGATATCCAAAACATGTTTTTTGAGGAATAGCTGGAATATGAAATGATACATTTTTTTAATTACAAAGATACTTCAAGAAAACCACCTCACCGGGTCCAAAAAGACCCACTTATGGAAGCTTGGGGTAGTAATACAAAAACTACAATTTCTTAAAATGTAAATTTAAAATTAGAATGGCATGATATCCAAAACATGTTTTTTGAGGAATAGCTGGAATATGAAATGATAAAAAAAGGTAATTACAAAGATACTTCAAGAAAACCACCTCACCGGGTCCAAAAAGACCCACTTATGCATCTAAGGGTAGTCACAAATGAAGAGTGTGGTAAGATGAAATCACAACACTACTTGCTTCAGGTTTGGGACCTGGCTGATATTTCAAATGAGAACATTTCCTTGTTATAATGATAATAAAGATTATTTTAAGCAGCATCCATATTCTCTTTATCAATACATATTTGCTGTTGCTAAATTGTTGCTGCTTTTTGCATTATGTCACAAAATTAAAAAACACTGTTTATACCAAGCTCACTAGATTTCAAACTGTGGTGCATCAAAATGGCTTTTTATTAACTTCTGCTAGGGATCATAGTAACTTGGAGGAAATGTCATGCAACCAATCATAACAAAGATAAAAGTGAGAAATGGCCAATACTGCCAAGCAATGGGCCCTACATAAAACCTTAGCATTCCTAATGAAAAGTAATGAGTGCACCCATTTTACTTGACAGTTAGGTGGGGTAGGTAAGTTTGAGAAACCGGCTCGTGATACACTTTTTGTTATATTCCATGGAATGCTCTTAACATCCCGATAGCAATGAATATCTTAAGTGCTTTGACAAAAAATCCATAAAATAATTTCATCTGTGGAAGCCGTAGTACTGTAAAAAGCACGACCAATCATTTTAGCCAGCCCGGCTAAAATAACTGGATGGCCTACCTGCCTGTCAGCCTTCCATCTGTGCACAAATTTATCTCGTGCCCTCATTGGTCATGTGCGAGTTCGTGTGTGTTGGAGGAGGGGCTCTGTAAGGAAGTGGCAGATTTTTTCCGGCTGTGTATTTTCAAATTCTAGCGCACTCGAGCTGGTTTCTCCAAAATTACCTACCCGACCTTTAATCAAGTAAAATAAGCAAACCAGAGTCAACATAACATTAAGCATGAGTGCTTCGGTATTAGTGTTTTGGTTTGTGAAATTCAATATACAATATTGTTAAGAGTTGGTGAGCTTAGCTGTGAACCCTTTACCTTGTGTTAGTATTAGGTATTGCATAAATGAGAGCATCCAGCTCACAATAACACAAAATCTGTCCTTGTCTTTCTGTTTCACTTCAGGGTTTATACTGAGCCTTTCCAGTAGACCTGCCTCACCACTGTTTGGCCTTGAAAGTCTAGTTAAATGACATGTAAATAAATAAAAACATTCTGAATTAAAAGGTTACAAACTTTATTTTTATCGCAAAGCTTGGTTGAATGTGATGTGTTTGTCATCAGCAGACTGGGATTTTTGTTTACCTCGGACTCAATATAAGGCTTAATAATAGCAGTTGTCTCTCTGAAAAGCTGCCTTCTCCAGATATATGGATTTATTTGACAGTATTAAAACCTGGTATTTACCAGGCTGCAATTATGAAGCATACAAAACCTGTCAAGGACAAAAAACACTCCAGTCTGCAGCTCGGTCCATAATAAAGCAGAATATTTAAATACATAAATATTGTTTCTCCACAATGCTTCTAGACAGAACAATAACTGTAGAGCGTGTTCACATCCAAACAACCTTTTATTTATCTTAGTGCTCACATTGATACAGCAGTGGTCATGGGTTCAAATGTTCGCAACAACCTATGTAAACATTTTTCTTAAGCAATATTGCATAATATATTAATTGTGCTCTTTCCAAGAAACGTAGATATAGAAGGACATTGTAAACCTCCACAAAACCTTCTGGATAAAAGGTCAGTTTGAATGGTCTGATTTATAATGTATGAGTAGAATAACACTGTGAATAAGCTTTATATTACCCTGTGAATACCTTGATTTCCACCAGATTGGCTTTGGTCTGATCAACCATTTCTCATTCAAAACTCGTCACATACAGATGCTTGGTCAGGACCCTTTGGCATCACTTTTAATCGCATTTGATAAACCTTTACGTCACTTTAATTGAGGCATTATTTTGGGTCAGTATGAGACACAGAGGGCCATAACGAAATGATGAACTGGAAATGAGATAGACATGTTGGCTGGGGAAAATTGGTTAACCACAAGGTTTCTGGTTCAAATCCGCCTAGGGACCTCTGATGCTTTTCCTCTATTTCCTGTCATGTCCCTACTGTCAAAATATATTCTAAAGACTATAAAATACCCCCAAAAATAAAAGTTTTGATAAGCTGTCTTGCAGTTTGAGTAGTTCCCGAGTATGTCTAAAACATTCCTGCTTTTAAAAAGACCATTATTGACCTCGATTTAACCTTACTGAAGTCGTATTTGACATGTTGTGCCTGAATCAGAAATCCCTTTTATCAGTAACTTTTAGAGCAGCAATATGTTTGTTTGTTTTATATGAAAATGTATTTTCTCCAGTGTTTAATGACTGGATGTTTGCTTAAGAGAGTTATGACCTAGAGACAAGCATTTCCATAACACGTGACCTGAATTTTGGTTGCAAAGTTTGATTACCATTTGCGAATGATCATTGAGTGTGTGTCTGTGTAGATGCAACATATATGTTTTAAACTAAAGAAATTAAACAGAAATTAGTAAAATGGTAGACCATCGGGTAAAGGTTAGGGTTAGGGTTAGGGTTAGGGTTGGTCGTAAAAAAAACAAAAAACAGGAAATAATTCAATGTAAGCTCTGAATTAAATTGCTAAATCGAAGAATTTACATATGAAACATGACATAATCTCACAAAATGTGATTCACAAAGTGGTAAATAGCAACAAAGTATTTAATACCTTTAGCTTATATTGATGCCAAACAGTCCTGCAGCCTCCTGCCCACTGGTCCAGGATCTGTTTGTCAATTTAAACATGAAAGCAAATAGAGCCTTCCCGTCTGAGATCCCGCCCTTCCTCAGCCCGGCTCCTCAGCTGAACACATTCCAGCCTGATTGGCTGAGCTGTTGGCCCTAAGCCCAAAGAGTGTCCATATAAAACACCCCATGAGCTGAAAGCCAGACTCAGACAGCAAAAGACAATCTGAGACTAACAGGAGCTAACAAGAAGATCGAATTTACTTCAATACTGCAACTGAGAGCGCCGGAAAATGTGTAAAGGATTAGCTGCCTTGCCCAAAACCTGCCTGGAGAGGTGAGACCTGCTTCAACACTCTTCCTTTTTTCTTCCATATCTTATGTGTTTTCTTCTGATTTGGTTAAGATCCAATAGAAAGTTTGACTATAAAGTATATAAAACATTGTATGTGGTTCTGATCATACATCATAGTGTATTAAAATAGATAACAGAAATTGTAAATCTAAGTTGCCGTCAGTCTCAGGTCAAGAGTTAACATCTAACAGAACTTAAAGGTTACGTAAAGTTCATGTTCTTGAACTTTTTTCTTTCAGAAAGTGATTTCTGTTTCTTTACATCCTTGCGGAACAGACCTTTTGACATGAATAACAACTTCTTATTCAGTTTACTTAGGGCAGTTAAATGTGTTGTGTTGCCTACGCACTTAAAGGGTGAGGACAGAAAGGTTTCTTAACATAAGTAGTAACTATAAGTAGAAAAACAATTTTTTAACTAAGTTTATACTGGTTAAAAAACATTTTCATCCTAGAAATTATTAAAGAAAATTGTTTTTAAAATGAGTTTAGATTTTTTTGTTGATTTAAATTCAAGTAGTGAGACATTTTACCTTAACGATAATGTTTTTAAGGTAACTTTCTAATGCACTTACTATGAGCAATTTATAACCAAGTAATCAACTGACAAATGTCTAACTAGATACAAAACAATGCTAATTCAAAGTAAAAATGTTATTATCGTAACAATATTTCCATTTGTTATCCAGTTTTATTATTAAAGCCTTTTTCTTCAAAACATAGGACCTCTTTGTAAAAAAAAAGTCCAACAAAAGAAGTATTGAATTGAAACAGCCAACAGACATGCTTTAACATTTCTAGTCTTGTATAAATACAATACACCAGAGTCATGTTGGAGAGAGGATGCTAGGCTTGGATAAACATTTTGACTGGATTATTATTGCTTTCGTGTCCAAGAAGTCACAACAAAGACTTTGTCACACAAGCCGTCTGCTTTTTGTCCTCCAGGGCGAAGGAGATCAAGTCAAAATTGGGCGTTTTCCTGCAAAAGCCTGAAAATGCCATTGACCTCATCATCCCCTACCCTGAGAAGACTGAGAAAAAGCCGGAGAAGCAGCAGAAGTGAGTTTTTTCCCCTATCTCTGCCTCTGAGATGAATGTGTTAGGAGGTGGAGAAAGCATGTTAGATTGTTAACAAGATAAATGAGAGGCTAAGTGTCAAAGCAGAGCCCCGAGCAGGGACAATATGTAGAGATCAAAGGACCGTAAAGATCTCCAGACACTGTCACTGCTCAGGTGTTACATGGTACACAGATTTAGACTTTCATTTGATTCCGCATCACCTTGAAAATATTGGGTCTGAGATGATTTATGTACAAGATGTTCAACTACTTTACTTTTGTTTCTTGTTAGCAATCTTGTAAGGGTAAGAAAACAAATCTTGAACATTTTATTAAAATTGGATAAACTGATTATTTTAGCCTTTTGTAACCAAAAGGTAGTCCACAAAGTCTGTGAGGCTTTAGCTGATTTGATCTGTTTACTCTTGTTGGTTCCCTTTAGAGTCATACAGCTCTCTTCATATCCTTCCTGTCACTGCCACTCATATTGATAATCTGCAATCCTCCTCTTTATTAGTGCTTTGAATGATGACCTTGTAAACGCATTTTCTGTCACCCAACAGTTTCTTATCTCTCTCTGATTTTGATTAAAGTCAAAAATACTGCAGATGGGTTCTACATGTAACACCCCACAATGCTAAACTGGACCATAAGCAGGTGTGCACATAACTTTTTGAGTGAGTTACTCAGATGAGTACCAGGAGACAGCGTTTGGTACTCACCCCACATGAAGCGTGGTGTTAATAAGTGCAGTCTTCCTCACTGTCCTCCTCAGTGTCTCCTTCACTGTCCTCTATTTACACTTCTTGCATGCTAGATGATGAAGATGATGAAGATGCACCTCCCTGTCTCTTTGTAAGCCTCCAATTTGCTTTCTCCAAAACTTGTTGCCAAAACTGTGAAGTCCTTGCATTTCCTGAGGCCAAGTTGAAGGATCAAATACTAAGAAATTATCACATGACTTGAAGTCATATCTGATTTCAGAGGTGGGAAGTAACAAAGTACACTTATTCAAGTACTGTACTTAGGTACAATTTAAGATACTTGTAGTTTACTTGAGTATTTCTATTTTATGCTACTTTGTACTTCTACTCCACTACAGTTCAGAGGTAAATCATGTACTTTTCTTCCACTACATTTATTTAATACCTTTAGTTACTTTACAGATGTGGATGAATGATGTGAAAATATAATCAAGTGTTAAATCAGACTTTAGTTCCACCTGGAGTAAATCCACAAGCTACCCTGCAGTATACAAAGTCATTCAAACTAATTTTTAAACACTTTAATGATCAATAATTATAAAACATATCATATACATTATTATGAAATGGACCAATCTGCAAAATGACTACTTTTACTGTCGCTACTTTAACTAGATTTTGATGATAATACTTTTCTAATTTTACTTGAGTAACACTTCTTCCACCTCTGTCTGATTTCAAACTCTTCCATTAACAGCCTGAGTAAGTTTGCAGCTGTGTGTTTTACTCCACTTTGTTGTAAATAAAACTGCAGCAGCTTGACCACAGAGCGTGAACGTTGTGATCAGCTGATTTTGCGCAGTTCTCCAGTGTGTGCGCGGGGCACAGAATGTGCACAGGGGAGTCTCCCACCGCAGCCAGTTGACGTAGTTTTGGTACAATTCTGTTGTACACACCGACGTTAACAGCAGCTCCGTCTGTGCACACGGCGACCAACTCTGTCGTCCAGTGATCTAAGCCTCTGCCTCCTGTGAAGCTTCACAGGTCCGTCGGTTATGTCCTGCGCGGCACGGCCAGCACCCAGTTCAATCAGTCATAGAAAGTCTGAAGATTTTAGCAGGGAGCGAAACGGCAAAGTGGCTGCTTAATGTCTTTGTTTTTTTTGGACGTGTCTAATAATTTACTCCACTGAGTATTGACAAGAAACATGTGTAGGCGAAATATGTGTTTTGTTTTGATGACCTATCAGGTACGCAAAGGCGCGTTGTGTGACACAAGTGACGTTACGCATTTCAGATTGTTGCCGCGCATGCGTACCTGCGTACCAGTTATGTGCACCCCTGACCATAAACTAGCCTGCTCATATTAAAACGTCTGTTTATTAAATGATGGATGATCGTTCTGCCCTTTTACAGAGGAATTTGATTGGTTTTAAAATCACTCACTGGCTTGTCGTTGGTACTTCCGGCTAATATAATGTATCAGATTCCTTGGATATGGATATGCAGTTTCAAAACCACAACTTTAAATAGTACAGAGTTTCGGGAAAATGTCAAAAGGCTTACCACACAATTTATTCTCAGTAGATGTTTTACCAGACTTACATTTCACAGCAGGAACCTATTTTGCAAGACACGTCACTGAACACACATGTGTATTGTACAAATATAGTCATAAAGACTAATTTATAGCAGCAGTAAAGTTATATTTGATATGGTTTTCATTTACTGTTGGCATACTTTGAAGACTGAACTGGTGTATTTTGTGTGCAGGCCGACTCCTGATGAGGCTGCTCAGTGGCGTGAGGGTCTGGACAGAGTCCTGAACAACAGCTGTAAGTTTACACTTTCTTACTCTCATTACTAATTATTTCTCTCCCTCACACACACACGCTTTTAATATTAAATTCTCTCTAATTGCCAGCTTAGGGCAACTGTACCTGTTGCAAAAAAAGTGAGATACTCAAATACAGAGTAACTGTTGGATTTGAACTGCTTAATTTCTACCAGATTACATGTACCGCAATTCAGACACACATTGCATGTATTCTGTCCATCGTTTGATGTGACTGGCGAAATTCGAACTGCTGGTTTTTTGTGTAGCATTATTAAGGATCTTTCTTAACTGTTTTTTGTGACATTACACGAAAAAACTTTGACTTACAAGAATACAAAAAACATGGCTTAAAACGTCCAAATAGACGAAAGAAGAAAAGAGCTGTTGTAATGTTGCTTGCTCTCATGTAGCTACCTTTTTTCTTCTAATAATGATGCCATTTGTGCACACCATCTTTCCCCTGGATGGCTGATGCTTGGTTATTTTCCAACAACAATAATCCTCCTTCTTAAAATCCCACAAAAATAACACATTTCAGAAGATTGGTTAGCCCATTACTTGCTATTCTGCAGCATCTCTGCTTTGTTGATGTCCTCTAAGGCTAACATTGAAAGCACCATTATTTCATACTTTCCAGGGCTGCTGCAATCTTCATTATGTAACAGCTAGAAGTAGAAAAACATGTCTTACATAATGTCTGGTTTCTGTCAAGAAGACCATTTGCAGGTACATCATACCTAGCCTGGTTTGGGTTTAGCGTGTGTTCTTCTTTATTTATATTCTATGTTAGACGTCCATGTGACCGTTTGATGACTCGAAAAATGAAGATAATGTTGTGGTATCTTTTGCCTCTTGCAAATAAATACTGCAACCACAAGCTGTCTTTTAAAGATAATTTTCCTAAAATAAAACCACCAATTAGAAATTACATAAAAAACAAATATGTGTGTAAACAGAGATTATGTGTAATGACATAATGTACACACTCCTTTAAAATCATTTTTAAATCATATGTTGTGGTCTCAAATAACCCCTTAAACTTTTTCTCCTTGAGTTGTTTACCTTTCCCTATAATAGAGTTTAGTTCAAGTTAATTTGCTGTCTAGGATGTGGTATTTTCAATCAATACCTAATTTAAGATGCAGACATTGCACCTATTCTAGGCATTAAGCAACAGTCTTAATCTGATTCTGGTCACTCTGGAATTCCTTTCAACAACTAAAAGGTTACAAAATCCTAATTAACAGGAGATAATAGGTTTGTTTCCATGAACATATACTTTTTTTTTGCACATCTTGAATGGCTAATAAATACAACTTTCTGCATGACACAAAACCTTTTTATGCAAGATGTTGGTGGTTTTCCGACGTAGCAAACATTAAACTCCCGTAACTGATCACCTGTTTTGTTGTCTGCTGCCATTGCTCATGGATTTGAACCAATGCATAACATTATCTTTTTTCAACTATGAAGATGGCCAATGAAAAGCTTGCATAAAGATGATTAAATATTGCCCTAAAAGTAACAAATCCTAAAAGACCTCCGTCCATTTTTTCCTAACTCAAATGATTATACTTTGTTTACTGGCGTTTTACAGCCATGCATGAAGGGTAGCATACATCACCAATTTTTGACAGAAGTGCGGTTTGTCTAGACTAAGTCATTTGCGCCTTATTGGCATTTATTTGTTAGCTACATTTCTAAAGTTCGCTGAAAATGATCTGGGCAACAGAAAATAAACAACAAGTGTAACATTACCATAGCATTATGTAAGAAAAACCCATTTTAAACCACCATGCATACCAGAAAGCAACCACTGGCTCCACTGTTTACATTCCAAAGTGCACAGAAAGCCTGAGAGCCAGCAAGACGGATGATTAACTCTAATGGTTAACGGTCTTTAGCGCTACGTGTAAACTCTCCTGCTAATAAGTCACTTAAGGTGCCCCTGTGCATCAAAACAGATCCACAGACAGATGTTGCAGCTGATACGTGTGTAGGGTCAACATTTCCTCTGCAGAGCTCAGTGGGTGGTAGAAGAACTTCTTAAGTGTCTCCTTCAGCACAGTGTAGGGCAGAGGGATGTATGTTTGCATGCCGGCATGAGTGTGTACATACATCTGTTTGTGTATGCGTCCGTTGGGGTTGTGTGTGTTATGATAACGTCTCCAGAGATAAGTCTAAATGGTTCCACAAGAGTTGATTTATTGCACAGTTGCTGCAAACTGCTGCAGCCTGATGATTCATCTACATCAGCATTTAATTTAACCTTATTCTTTATGGCTCCACTCTTGTTAATTCCCATGGGATTCTCTCTGAGTTATTTCCTCTCAGATGTGGGACTCACCCCCCTTCCTTCCTTATGTAATGTATATTATAAAACAGGAAATGAGTGATCTAGGACTACTCTGTTTTAAAAATTGCAATTGAAGAAAACTTGATCTAATTTCCTTGTTGATGTCCGTGCTCTTTTTGTTTACATTCATTTGTCATAGTTTTGTTATTTGAAAGAGTATGCAGCACGACGGGTCATTGGAGTTAATAAAAGCTGAAATGTAATTTAATCTGGCATAATTTGGCGGATATGGAAGTAAAATGTTGACAAAATCATAAATATACAACAAACAAACCCTCACCCTAAACATGACGCTGCATTTTCTGCCGGTTGTTTCTGCTCTGATACACCAACATCCGTAAATGTTCATCAGTGCCTGTGCGTGTGTTCTTCTCTCTTTGTGTGTCCTTGTACTAGAGGTCATAAAAAAAAAGGGCTGCAGCTTGATTGCGACTCCGTGCTATTTTGAACCAAACTAGTCATTTAGATTGCAGATAAAAGCCTGAGGCCATAATAGAAAGCTTATCGTCTGCAGCACATGCTGGTTCAGACAATGGGAACTTTTAACAGGCATTATGTTGAACCACCAATGGTCTTCACTGAAAGAAATTGATGTTTTATTAAGTTTCATTTTTGGATCGTTATCTTGGAATAACCACTGTGCTTTTGCATTTGTCCAAAGAGTTTCTATTGTTGATACTCTTTCGGTTTTTAAAGGAATAAATCGTTTTCTGATTTGGTAAATACAAGTTTAGTTTAGCTATTTATTTATATCATTTCTATATGTATCATTGTATCATGTATCATTTTCATACCTTTTATGTATAGCAAAAATGAATCTACTAGTTCTACTAAAGTGTTTTTTGAGTCATTTTCCTTGCTTGAACAAAAGAAACATGAACAAAAACCCATTATCTTGTGGATTAATTGGACATATTGCAAATTGTAGAAATATTCATCCAATATATTTTGGGATTTACTTTTATATTTCAGTACTAGGATAGAACAAGTAACCTTTGCATGAATGTGATATAATTCAGCTGAGCCATGTTTAAAATAGTACAAAAACAGTCTGTCATTGATTTTATAATGGATAATTTTCTCTCAAATATCTGCATGAAAAGGGGTTTAAATTATCACTGATTCCATATTTTATTATGCCGCTTGTTAATACATATCTCTCTCGTCTTGTTATCCATCAGATGGTGTTTCTGCTTTCCGCAGCTTCCTCCAGTCCGAGTTCAGTGACGAGAACGTCGAGTTCTGGGTGACCTGCGAGGACTTCAAGAAGAACAAGAACCCCGTGAAGATGGCAGCCAAGGCCAAGAAGATCTACGAAGACTTCATCCAGTCTGAGGGGCCAAGAGAGGTCAGGAACTCCTCTGATTACCCCTTGATCAACACCACATGGTTTATTAAATTAAATACATGTATCATGCTTTACGCAACCAGCACCAATGTTTCAATAATGAGTTCTCACTTGGCAGCAATCTCATCCGAAAAGATTATCCAATAAGAAGTTATTCATTCTTAAAGTACAATCCCTGAAAGGTGCTGTCAGTAAGTTGGCAATAAAGCAGAGATTTCGTCAACAGGGTAATGAGTAATATGGTATTTACATAAAAACACTTCTCCTGCCAGGTTATTCAAGGTGAAATATAGAGGGAATTGTTAGAGAGATAGTTTTAATACAATTTGCAGACATTTGAAAACGTTGGAGTGTTTATCTAATCAGATGAGAAATACAGGCCTGTTTAAGTGTAAACAGATGAGGTCACAGAGAGAGAATGTACTGAGACACGCCAGTGAACCGCTCAGGCACGGGAACACACACACATACAGTATGGTAATAAACACACACACACACACACACACACACACACACACACACACACACACACACACACACACACACACACACACACACACACACACACACACACACACACACACACACACACACACACACACACACACACACACACACACACACACACACACACACACACACACATAGACTTAAGTATTTCCATATTGGGTTAGGGGACGTGACTTCTACTGTTTAAAGGAAAATATTGTGCCCTGTTCTGATCTGATTCTTCTTTTCGTCAATATAATTGGTCATAATAATAATAACAAATAAAGGAATAGTTTGTAAGTTAAGTATGTGTGTTTGCTTTATTGCCCAGAGTTGCAATCAGTCTGTGACTATTTTTGAACCGGTTGTCATAAACATGAGGTCTCTGGTAGGTCTTAAATATTCTCCTGGCAATTTGAAATAGACAAAGAATAAATAAATAGTATCTTGCCTAAAATGGCTACTCTCTCTTTCTCTTTGACAACATTGTTGGTTTTGGACTAGACAAATTGTGTTTTTGAATTTTTGTAAATTGCTTGCTTGCGTAGATCGGATATATTTGTTGGTACAAGCAAGTAAAACCCAGTTTTTTCTTGTTAACATTTAATTATTCATGTTAACATTAAATACTTGCCATTTCTCTTTATCTTCGTCGTCTGCATTGTGATTGTTTCTGACAGCATGTTCTGTCGTCCTCACACTACAGGTGAATATTGACCACTTCACCAAGGATGTGACTCTGAGGAACCTGGTGGATCTGTCCCCTGCGACCTTTGACCTGGCCCAGAAGAGGATCTTCGCCCTGATGGAGAAAGACTCCTTCGGGCGTTTCCTCCGCTCTGAGCAGTTCCAAGAGCTCCTGGTCAACTAAGCCGGAGCAGTTCATGTAGGATGGGGGGGTTGGGTTTCAAACAGCAGTCAGTAAACATGAAAATAATTAGAAACACATTTGTTGGATTCTGCTTCTATTTGAACCTACAATTGAAACTTCTATTTTAGAAAAAAAAAGTTCAAAACATAATTATAATTTATAATTTGAGTGTAACTAAAGGGAGAGACTGCTTTTTGTAATAGCCCTACCTCCCCAACTCACACACACACACACACACACACACACACACACACACACACACACACACACACACACACACACACACACACACACACACACACACACACACACACACACACACACACACACACACACACACACACACACACACACACACACACACACACGTGACCCGCTCTATCGAAATCAGTCGGAAGTCGCAACGGCTCATTTCAAAATAAACATAGTTTTAAAAAAAATAGTTTTTCGGGATTCGGGTGTTTTGTTTGATTTTAAACAAACAAAGTCTTGGCTTTCAGAATATGAAACTTTTATTTCCAAAATCACACGATAAATACATTTTTGAAGCAGTAAAGGGAAGATGACAGCTCTCACTCGCCACTCTGCTGTTCCGCAGCGCTGCTTCCCCTCCCTCCGGCTGAAATTATGAATGTAAGGCGTATAATAATCATAGATAACACGGCAGGGTCTGTTACAGTTTGTTTTCATCTGATTTCAATTAAACAAAGTCTTGGCTTTCAGAATATTAAACTTGTTTCGGCAAATTCAGATGATAAATACAACTTTGAAGCTTGTAACGGCATAATTACAAGCGGAGAACGGAGTAACTTGACGTCACAGCAGGCATAACAACAGCCAGTGTTCCCTGTGAGTGTTTTCCCTTGGGAAACAAACACAATACACACAAATGCAATATTACACAAACACACACACACGTATACACACACACACACACACACTCGCGAGCTTCCCCAGACCAGTAATCCAAACGAAAATATCTTCCCTCCGTATTATTTTGATAATTTGCTCCGCTAATAATCAATCAGATCGATGGATTCCAGAGAAGAGGAAACTTTAAAGGCCTTACGCATTCTGTAGCATACTCCATTGACTTTATGACCTAGACTAGAGCCTTACTACTGAACAGCAAGTGGTCTTGTTGGTGCTCTATACTGACAATCAACCCTACATTGTATTTGACAACATTTTCGTTTTTGTCATGTATTTAGCATAACACTTCCCCATGCCTTCAAATGGCTGTCTTAACGTCAAACTAATGTAAAGTGTTGCATTAATGGTTTCCAAAATAAAAAATAAAAATAATGGGCACATTGTAAAAACAAAATCAAAACAAAACTTAATTAAAATATGCAGTATTCAATAGTTTGACCCCAAAGAGATTAACCTTACATAAACTGAAATGTTAAGTACTTTCCAAAACAACCCAGTTTTGCCTTCTTTTGCCACAGACCTAAACGTCTTACTTATACAGACATCAGAATACATGTTATTTTCACCAAAACACTCAAAGCTATTGTGCCTTTTCAAGTAAATAGATCTATGACTTAAAACATGTTCTGCCTACTAGAGGAAAGCAATGGGAAACCCTTGATAGAATGAGAGTTACACATTTGACTGTTTCAAATAAATGAAGATATTAAATCATTTCCAACAACAACCAAATAATTTTGTCATTTCATTTAAAGAACTTTTAACAAAGACTCTCTTCTCGAACCAATGAATGAGTAACAATTATCACGTAACTTTCTTGTTGTCTCTTTCACACTCCTACACTCACATAGACAGTAAGTTTAGATTTTCCCCAAACTCCCCTTTTGGTTGAGATGCATCCTGTGAGAGACATCCTTGAGAACAGTGGTGGGTAGTTGGCTCAGTGGTCGAGCTCCTTGGCTACCACTAAATGCATGTTGCTAAGATGGGCAAATCAAGTAGGATGGAATCTAAAAAGAAAAGGGGGACAGAACAGTGGTTTTAACAAAGAAAAGTCCTTTTCCCATGCGATAATGCTAATAATGTATGCAAGCATGCCGACTCACTGAAAATACCTGATCTTAGTGATAATTCACCATTGAAAAACATGGGGGACTGAAATTGTAAGTTTGCAGCACTTAACCAAAACTGTTTTTTGTAACACACTAAATGTAGATTTAAAGTCAGAAATGAAATGTAAGGAAGGTATTTCAATCATGAAAGTACAAAAAATAGACATAGTTCATAGATTCGACTTCATATGTACCTTTCACTCTTCTTATTTTCCAGGTTAACACTTTAAAACACAAGTTATTATTCACTACATGCCGTAAGAAAACACTGGTATTCACCTACCTTTCACTAAACTGAGATGTGTATGGATGTGATGGTGGATTTGGTGTCGGAGGGCAAAGATTGGGTGTCCTAAATGTTGTCATTACAGTAGTTGAATGTAGCATTCACAAAGTGTGATTATATTTACTCTTTAATGCTTTTTCATATTAAACAAAAGCATTATGTGTTAACCCTCACAAATATATGTTGTCTAGATATTCAGCCTTTTGTAAGTCCTTATTGATTTTTTTAAATGCAAATATTAGAAATCAAGCTAAACTGAGTTGATTAATCAGGAGAAACGATCAATTTTTCAATTTATTGATTTAACTGTTAAATGTACTAAAAGGGCATTGGAATTGCCAACACAAATATTTAAATAATGAGCATTGACAATGGTTTATAATGGCGCAGATTAGCCAGTCTGGTGTCATAACCTAAGTCTCATACAGGTTAATGTTACAGAAAAATCAATAAGGGCTTTGACAAGGCTGAGTTTGTATTATTTGATGTTGCCTTGCATGTACGTCCTGGAGTCAACCACATAAAAATATATATATGCATTCAATTCCTGAAGATGTATTTATTTTGACATGTAAATAGCAACCTTTACACAATCGATTGTGTTTAACTTATTATTTAGTGCAAAAGTGGAATACATACTTCCTAGAATCTTTTCACTGTTATAAAAGAGGAAACACCTGACTTTCAATTGTCACTTTCTTTTTCTCTTCATTTGATACCCATTCACAAAATGTGTTTATCATTCATGATGAAGTATATCATGATTGAGTCTTTTAAGGCAAAAATGAAAAAGTAGAACCAACTACTTCTAGCCCATGCCACGAAATCCATTTAAAGTATGAGCTATGTTAAAGGTCCCCTATTATACTGTTTTTCATCAATATATTATAGATCTCATATATATACAAACATGTCTCTGAAGTGTTTGGCCCTAAATACCAAACAGATCATGCATTGTAGCATCCCATAAACCCCTCTGTTTCAGCCCTGTTTCAAAAGTCTTTTACTTTAGATGAAAATAAGGAGCCACTCCCCACGCCCCTCTGAGAGATATTTGGTTAAAAACACACAATGGTGCTCTAGGAGGAGATTCAGGTGATAAGGTGTGGGGGGGGGGGGGGGGGGGGCGTTACCTTGGTTGGTTATTGGCTAATGGTTACACAAGCCAAAAAACGTTATGACATCATAAAGTGGCCAACATCTGATCAGCTCATTTTCAGACAGGTTTTTATATAAATGGATCAGGACAAGTGAGTAAATCTTTTTTCCTAAAACTTTCAGAATCTCTTTACACAGAGGGGACACATGTTTATGTATAAAATACATAAAAAAATGGATTTTGCATAATAGGTGACCTTGTAAACCAACAAAAGTTAATTCACATTAAGATGTACTAATGTAAAAAATGTGATTTATTATTATTATTATTATAATGTTGTGTGTCCTTTAGCTCTAACAAACATGTTAAGCGCATTTTCATCCTCCAAAAAGCATTAGCAAAGTAGATTTTGTTAAGTATTTCTATTGTTTACGTCAATATGTTAAGCTAGCAGTCTTCGTCTTCTTCCATGCCCTTTGCATTGAAGTCTATCTTGACTTGATACAATATTGGGACCCATTCGTAAAAAAAACAACCCACTTGCATTACTAAAGGTCAATAATTCCCCATGAAACTAATTGTAAAAACATTCAAAAGAAAGTGCGAGTGTTAGCATGCTAAGACGCTAGCGTGAGATGCTGCTACAGTTGCTATTGGAGTGGCATGGACAGATTCCTCATTGGCTCACACCAATGTTGACACATTCACATACTGTATGTCAAGTCTTGGGAAAATTGAAGGACTTTAGTGGAAGAAGTAGGAGAAAATGTGTTATTTATAATGTTTAATGGGCCAGGGCTTTACATTACAAAACATTTAAATGTTGCTTTGTAACTACAGAATCAAGCAAAAGAAGTTGGACAGCAAAAACTGCTTTAAGAAAACAGAGTAAACCAATTAAAAAACATCAGAGATGAAGGAAACAGACACCAGTAACAGATGCGTCTAAAGAACTGGTTGTCAACACAAACAGCGTCAAAATCTCAGACATCCATCATACTGCAGTTCCTAGAAGTAGATGGAAAAGGTCAAATTCCTAGGGTCCCAAAAGGAGGTTAGTGACATTTCTAACAAACATTTTGTTTTTGTGAACACACTTTGTTTGGTACACTTGGACATAACAAGCAAGAGCGGAAAATACATCATGGCAAAAGCTGTCAATATCTCTTTAAACATGCTTTATGTTTTTATGCAAATTAGTAACTTGCTGTTCTTAAAACCATATGATAAATTGAAAGCTTTTACAAATCCAAATAAATAATCACCAATAAATACCACTGCTTACTGTATGCTTTAGAAGTCTGCGTTATAAATCGTACAGCCTAAGAGCCTGCTTTGGGCATTTCGCCTGATTCGTGACTTGATTTCCCTCCAAATGTGCAGTATTAGAAGAAGAAGTTCACTTTGACATGATTGCCTGATTAAATATTCCTGAAAAAGTTTCCGTGGAATGATTCATTCTGCTTTGCCAGGAGTAATGATTAGCCCTCTAAGGACAACCAGAGCCCCAGACATTTTCACATCTGCTGCCAAAACAATTATCAGACCTCAGACAGGAAACCACATATTACTATACCTACCAATATATTACTATATCTGAATGTAAGTTTAATGTGC